ACGCCTTCGAGAAATCGGTGTATATAACATCAACCTGACACCGTTCCTCCAAGGCGTCCAACAGTAGTTCTTCAAACTCCAAGAGATTGCTGATGGTAGATTTACCTGGAACAAATCCATGCTGTTCACTAATTAGTAAATTATTTAGTGAGTAACAAATCTTGGAGCTTACAATCAGTTCGAAGATTTTAGCGAAAATAGAAATTTTTGCTATTGGTCTATAGTTTTCAATACTATTTCGTTTTCCAGATTTGAATATCGGAGTAACATAGCTTTCCTTCCATTTTACTGGAAATACTTCCTTGTTTAGTGACATACTAAATATTTTCGGCAATATTGGGGACAAAACAAATCTACAATTATAAACAAAAGATGCTGAAATATCATCAGGTCCGCAGCCCAATTGTAAATCTAAATTACTGATACAATCCATATATATCCATTACCGTAATATTACAATTATTAATAGTCATAGATTTGCCACTTACAGAGTCCTCAGAGTAGACCGAAGCAAAAAAACCGGCAAATAGATCAGCCATGTTCTGAGGGTTATCAGAAACTATATTATTATATGTCATAGTATTTGGCAAGTCAAATTTTTTTCTTTTATTATTCACATAGCTCCAGAATTGCTTTTTATTTCTAACGGACTCTTGAAGAGTCGATATATTTCTTATGACATACAATAAATAAGCCTTTACATTCTTTACGCAAACTTGAAAAGGTGTTGTAATCATCCAGAGATTGTGAGGCCTTATATTTCTTATGAAATAATTTCTTTTGAAGAATTTTTTCTTTTAGAATATCAGGGTAGCATTTTGGGAATTTTGCATTTTTACATCCATGATACGGAACAAAAGCCTTTATACAGTAGTTCAGTTTATTATAGAATAACTCAACAGTCGAGTCAATTTCGTCACTTGCAAAAATTTGATTCCAATCAAAATTACCTAGGCAGTCATTGATAGAAATATAATTAGCATTTCTGAAATCGTAATATGAATAATCGAAATCCAGAGGCTCAAGGGGACTATCAAGTTTGACATTGAATGTAAGAGCCGGATGATAGTTGTCACATCTTAGGAGTGGAAAGTCTGATATATTGACAGTGACCATATCGTCCGCAAATATCAAGTCCAAAAAACCACCTCTACTATTAGCAATTGAGTTAGTTTGAAATAAATTACGATATGCAGAAAAATTAGCAATGCACTCAACTTTGTCACTTATGTCGCCAATCGGTCTTGATCCATATTCATCATTCTCCCATAGAATGTCGGGAAGATTATAGTTTCCACAGAAGCAGACTCTGGAAAAGGAGTTTGAATCCATGATATGGTCTAATGATGTAACATAGTCCTCATACAAGTGTAATGAGGATCTTGGAGGCAGGTAAACACACCCAAAGAGGCTTTTTTCCTTTCCCAAAACCACCTGTACACAGACACTTTCAATATTGTCGCATACTGAATCAATAATTGTTGATGATATACTCTTTTTCATTGATATAGCCTCATCTGCTTTACAACACCGATAAAGAATATTCCAATTCACCTCCAGCAAAAGTTGATACATCATTGGGAGATTTGCTTTTTTGAAATTATATTGTGCATTATCTCCAAGTTTGATTTTGTTTTGTATTATCTGTGCATTATGATGTTCATAAACCTTTACAAGAGGTTCCTCTGAGTTCCATACTTTTCAACTTATTTTACCATTTTCATTTTTTATGTTATTAAATTGCTGAAAACCTGTGAAATCTAAAAAGTAATTAAACATTTTTGTTGCTGGGTGTTTACAATCATCCAGATGCGGTACATTATTCAAGTCACCAATTATTATAAAGTTCCTATTGAAATCGTTTGATATGATTTTATCTTCAAACACTTCAAAAAAATACTCATACATTGCTGTAGCCTTCCCAGGCGGTATGTAAAAATGTAAAATACACAGATTGTAAACATTACTCCATGCACAACAATGTCACACAGTAGAATTTCTAGATCTGGAACATTGCAGTCTATGGTTTTCTCCTTAAATTATATATGTTGGAAATCTCTGATAAGTAGCATTAAACCACCTTCTCGTTTTTTTCTCGTTTTCTGTTTATCTCTGTGAATCCGAATTACATTGTGAAACTCCCCCACTATTTCTGGTCTAAAGGTTTTTTCATCTAGCCATGTTTCGGTCAATGCTAGAATTTCGTATTCTGCAGTAGCAATATTTAGTGTTCATTTCATCCATTTGTTGTTTACACTTCTTATATTTTGATTTTTTGAAAATATACTTCAAACGTACCTTTGGTTTGTGCTGGGGTCTCAGATCTCATAAAAAATCTCCACCCACACCTTTGTGTTTGTTTCCCAAATTTTTCAAAAAATCTCTATGAATCGTCTAACCTCTACCTACGTATTTTGGCCAGAATGAGGTGTCATACATTTCATCTTTTTTTTTTTTTAATGGCGCTACTACCAAAAAATGTTTGAGCCTTTCTTCTTCTCACTAATACAGATAGGCTGAAATGAGAAAATAATGTCGGTCTTTTCCACTTTTCAGTCTTCAAATGGCCCTAAACATAACCTAATTTTAACGTGATTGTTACATTTATCATTTTGGAAAGGTCGGATTATCGTTATCATTTTGTGCAAATGAAATCCTTGGACAGAATGTTTTTAACCTATCTATGAAGCAGCGGATATAATGGAATATTTATAATTATTCACGGTCCATTCTCAAGTCTAGAATTTTCCCTCAAAATCGTCAGTATATTGAGTCTGAAATATTTGGTCTTTTAGAAATTTGATACAACTGAACATTTGAAATTAAAATATTTGCTTTGTTGTTTTGTGTATTGGAAACTCTTTACTCTTTACAAAAAGAAAGAAACTAAATAAATAAATACCATAAAACAACTTACATGGAATAAGAAAGGTCGATTTCAATTTAAAATGACTCATAAACACAAATTTGTTATTGCTCTTTACTTTGTATCGAAAGAAATCGACAGTAAAAGCGGATAACTTGCACTTTTTCTAACCTCGACATTGAAAAGCGAAAACGCCGTGCAAAAGCGCATATTATCAATGTATTCATTCCCCTGTAATACGCGTGTATCGTTCCGCCAACATTGTTTGCGAATCGTTGATCTCTTTCGTTTTTCACTTTTAAATAATAGAGAGCTTTAGCTTACACCTTCATTTATTCATAATATGAATGTAGAAGTTAAATTTATTGAAGCTTTAAACTGCTAGAGGGATCAACAAGCATATTTGTTTGGCTCCCTAATGAAGTAGCGGGGTCAGAAGGGTGATTTATCAAATAGACAAAACGTAAAAAGGCCCTGTTGCCGATTTTTATTTGGTTGGAATAATAATGAATATCGTCATTTAATGAAAAGTATCTATTTCAAATTTTTCTGCTTATAATCGATTTAAAATATATTTGGGAGGTTTTAAATTTATATCTAAAATAATTCTAAATCAACAATACCCTTTATCACCACTCCATTTGGTTTCAAATACCTACCTGCTTCTGAAGAAAGCTTTTACAGTTTGGCAATGACGTAGTAATTGTTTTGTTTTCTCTCCTTTCTTGTGGCAGATCAGCTGGGTTGCGTTCGAGAATATGGTGTGTCGTATAAAAATCACACAAGTGCCGTTCGGTTCTGAAGGGTGGTTGACGCGTACTGATGCGCGCACCGAACTCTCTAGTCCCGACTAGAGTAAAATTAAAGCTGATATTTTGAGGATGCACCCCCTGAAATAATTTCCACTGCAACAACCAAGTTCTCGAACGCAGCCCTCTGATGATCAAAACATAAACAGACTGGTTCATAAGCATTATATTTTTATAAGTGCGAGCGAGAGGGCCTGGTCTCATTCAGGAGCCAAACAAATTCTATAGCAAATTATTAACGTTATTGGTCTAGAGAGAGAGAGTGTTCAATGTTCGAAGAGAAACAGCCTCTAAATTCAAAAATCTGTTCTTCCATGGCCTTAGCAGATCGACAAAAGTTTTGAAAATAGATAATAATCGCTACAAAACTAAGAAAATCAACCAACACTAGCTTCGAGAAAAGTCAACTCTCAATTTTGGGAAATCCCCAGTAAAAAGGAGGGATGATTTTCCTATGGAACTTCTTTAGGAGGCGTTGGACGTAAAATTGCCAAGAGACCTTTTCGGTTTCTTTTAGCCTTCTCTACCGAACAGGGTAGGTATTTTGCTTTTCCAAAATTCGAAAAAACCCAATTTCCAATTTTGAGGATTTCCTAGTAAAAAGGAGTGAATTTTCTTCTGGAACTTCTTCTAGCTTTAGGAGATGAAAAATTTCCAAAATACCCTTTCGGTTTACCTCCAGAGCATTTTTTCAAAGCTGGTAAAGAATCGGCAACAGGAAGATTTAGGCAATTCCATATACCAATTGAAACAATTAGAAACTATTAATTGCTATTTCGTACATAAACAATGACCAGCAAGGGGTGATTCACACCGATATGCAGCAACAACAGAGCGATATATAAGTTTCACAATGAAAAAATATTAATTATTTCAGGTCTGATTGTCGACAGGCGATCGTTTCTAAATATAGGTGCAAGTAAAAGTTGTCCGTTTTTCAGTCTTCGCAACCGACTATAACGAGGAAAAATTTTCAAATAGCCACAATTTGTCGATTTCTATTGGAAGAAATCTTGACAGCTTATATTGTTTTGTGTTTCCGTCAGCTGTTTTAATTCATAAATTAATAAATAATTATTGTACAATCATGTTTATTATAAATGGAAATATGTTATTAGTTTAACGATCTTTAATAATTCTAATTTATAGCCCAACCTAATTGAAAATTTAGGCATCATTCATATGTTTATTTGATAATTTTGTGATTATGTGTTTAATAACCTTCTAGCATCATTATTAATTTAAGTAAATTATCATTCTAATGATGCAGCATTTTTCTACGTGATTTACACATTTTGATTAACGATTATTATTCTTTTTTCTAGAACCGGCAACAGCGCCATCCGCAACCAGTTTCAGCTTCACCTGCGCACCCCTTGGTACATCCTTGCGTACGACCCGAACATAACTTAACAACCTTGCGTAACTACGCCACCATGAATACACAGCAACCAGGACCGATGCCGGACTACCAAGTGGATCCCTATCGGTTGTTGGAGGACGACCTTAAGGATGTTTATAGCTATATTAAAAACGTGAGTGATATTATCTTAAATATCATCAACTGCTCAAAATAGCCCTCATAGTTTTATCCCAGTATGTCTCATCATTATGTGTCCATTACAGGATTGAAGTCCATCTTCCATGACTTATTGAAACCACATGATTAGCATAATTCCCACTCTAACAAAATATTCTCTCAACTCAAGAGGTTGTTATTGGATTTAAGGCTTGTGTAATTCGTTATCTTCTGGTGTGTCCTTGTATATAATTCTTCCACAATTTTCAAATATATTCACATATTATCATACACCAAGATTGTTTCCTAATTGGTATTTGCATAACATAATAATAATCATTTCCTATTAATTTTCAATAACATCAAGAGACAAGTGAAACTAGTCCAATTATCAAATTAAAATCGGCCCACGAGCATTTTCAACTTGACACAATTCGGTTTGGTTCTAGTCGATGTCACATTTAGGTCTTAACATCTTCGAACAATGGTCATTTAAACCACTCGAGTAAATTATTTTCCTGTTATTATTAACCGAAGTGAGCAATCCGCTCAAGTTATTAGAAGATGCACTTAGGTGAATCTGATTATTTTTTTTTTTTTTCGCCGACCTTGTGCCTAAAACGTAATCTACGGAAAGATGATCGCGATGATGACTATGATGACTATCGAAAAACTAAGGACGTTTCAATTATGAAATTGCTTTAAATACTTGCTAAATCGATTGTATCATTGTTATAAATCAGATACCTTTGTTTTGATGTATCTAATGTCGATGCTTATGAAATGCATATTCATAATACTTTGAGTTATCCGATCCATTGAGATACAGGATGTCAAATTTAAAAAAAAAAATGATTTGTTAGCTTAAAAATAAAAAAAACGATATTTTTTTTTTAAACTTTGACACCCTGTATCTCAGAAATTACGTATTTGCGGACACATATTTATGGGAACTTTTTTTCTTAAAATATTGTAAAGAATCACATCCTGAAGTTACGAACCGTACTTAGGAAACACCCTGTATATTTTCCTATTTTCTGACCCTCCTGTACATGCTATTTCAAGTTTTAATAGTTTAATAACATTTGTTCAAGAAGCAGAAACTTTTATGAAGAATAACTTTTTTTCGGAAAATTGATAATAACAAAGTTTCCTATATTCTAGGAACTTAAGTGGACACACTGTATATATACATAAAATCGTATTTTTTTATAATTTTTTAGGCTCTTAGAAGAAACACATACCAAGAAGACCTCTACGAAATAGCCACATACTATTTTGATGGGAATGGTAAAGCCATAAGGCCAATGGTAACCATATTAATGGCCAGAGCTATTAACTACCACATGTATCAAGAAAATAGGTAATAAAATCTTGATAATAAACTAGAAAAATAAGCAATTTTCCTTCGAAAATAAGAAAAAAATCCCATTCATTCTACCTATAAGGTTTATGAACTCTGCCAAGCAAGATGTAAGATAAATATTATATAGAACTGTCCATCCGTGTTTGCTTGTATGGGTATGAGTTAACAATAAACAATAGCAGTGTTACATAAATTGAATTATGCATTGATAAAATTATGAATGATTGAATTGTTGTTATTGTCACCTGGAGTACGCAATTATTATTTTATGAATAATCCTTGTTTGCCCTTGAGGTAACGTTTTGGTGACTGTTTTGCATGGTCTTATGATTAATAACGTAAATTTGAAGCTCCAAATATTGATAATCAGATAAAATTGATCAAGGAACGCGGTGTAGATGCTAACTTCTTCAATTCCTCTTATTTCCTCTTTATTTTTCAATTTTTCCAGCTCAATTTTTGTCTATTCTCGGCTTTTGAATTTCTCGAAATAAAGAAAATTCAAGAGTCTAGAATAGAAAAAACATAAATGTCCTTCTATCCACAATTTTTTTCTCAATTTTTCTACATTTCTTCTCTATTTAATTCTCAGTTTTTCCATCTCAATTTTATTCCTGGCCCATGAATTTTCGTTTTCTTTTGAATTTCTCTACATAAAGAAAAGAACATTCAAGAGCCTAGAATAGAAAAAACATGAATCTACCATAGTACCACAGTCCTTATGATTATTTAATTAGATTTGTTAAGCTCCAAATATTGATAATCAGTCAAGGAACACAGATACACGCAGTGTAGATGCTAATTTCTTAAATTCCTCTTATTTTCTCTCTATTTCTCAATTTTTCCAGCTCAATTTTTGTCTATTCCCGGCTCTTGAATTTCTCGAAATTAAGAAAATTCAAGATTTTGAAATAGAAAAAATATGAATATGTCCTCTCATTCACCATTTTTTTCTCAATTTTTCTACATTTCCTCTATTTAATTCTCAGTTTTTCCATCTCAATTTTATTCCTGGCTCATGAATTTTCGTTTTCTTTTTAATTTCTCTACATAAAGAGATGAAAATTCAAGAGCCTGGAATAGTAAAAACATGAATCTACAATAGTACCACAGTCCTTATGATTATTTAATTAGATTTGTTAAGCTCCAAATATTGATAATCAGTCAAGGAACACAGATACACGCAGTGTAGATGCTAATTTCTTCAATTCCTCTTATTTCCTCTCTATTTCTCAATTTTTTCAGCTCAAGTTTTTTCTATTTCCGGCTCTTGAATTTCTCGAAATTAGGAAAATTCAAGATCCAGAAATACATAAAGAAAAGAAAATTCAAGAGCCTGGAATAGAAAAAACATGAATCTACCATAGTACCACAGTCCTTATGATTATTTGATTAGATTTGTTAAGCTCCAAATATTGATAATCAGTCAAGGAGCACAGATACACGCAGTGTAGATGCTAATTTCTTAAATTCCTCTTATTTCCTCTCTATTTCTCAATTTTTTCAGCTCAATTTTTGTCCATTCCTGACTCTTGAATTTCTCGAAATTAGGAAAATTAAAGATCCTGAAATAGAAAAAATATGAATGTCCTCTTATCCACCATGTTTTTCTCAATTTTTCTACATTTCCTCTATTTAATTCTCAGTTTTTCCATCTCAATTTTATTCCTGGCTCATGAATTTTCGTTTTCTTTTTAATTTCTCTACATAAAGAGATGAAAATTCAAGAGCCTGGAATAGTAAAAACATGAATCTACCATAGTAACACAGTCCTTATGATTATTTAATTAGATTTGTTAAGCTCCAAATATTGATAATCAGTCAAGGAACACAGATACACGCAGTGTAGATGCTAATTTCTTAAATTCCTCTTATTTCCTCTCTATTTCTCAATTTTTTCAGCTCAAGTTTTGTCTATTCCCGGCTCTTGAATTTCTCGAAATTAGGAAAATTCAAGATCCTGAAATAGAAAAAATATGAATGTCCTCTTATCCACCATTTTTTTCTCAATTTTTCTACATTTCCTCTATTTAATTCTCAGTTTTTCCATCTCATTTTTATTCCTGGCTCATGAATTTTCGTTTTCTTTTGAATTTCTCTACATAAAGAGAAGAAAATTCAAGAGCCTGGAATAGTAAAAACATGAATCTACCATAGTACCACAGTCCTTATGATTATTTCATTAGATTTGTTAAGCTCCAAATATTAATAATCAGTCAAGAAACACAGATACGCGCAGTGTAGATGCTAATTTCTTAAATTCCTCTTATTCCTCTCTATTTCTCAATTTCTCTAGCTCAATTTTTGTCTATTCCCGGCTCTTGAATTTCTCGAAATTAAGAAAATTCAAGATTCTGAAATTGAAAATATATGAATGTCCTCTCATCAGTTTTTCTACATTTCCTCTATTTAATTCTCAGTTTTTCCATCTCAATTTTATTCCTGGCTCATGAATTTTCGTTTTCTATTGAATTTCTCTACATAAAGAAAAGAAAATTCAAGAGCCTGGAATAGAAAAAACATGAATCTACCATAGTACCACAGTCCTTATGATTATTTAATTAGATTTGTTAAGCTCCAAATATTAATAATCAGTCAAGAAACACAGATACACGCAGTGTAGATGCTAATTTCTTAAATTCCTCTTATTTCCTCTCTATTTCTCAATTTTTTCAGCTCAAGTTTTGTCTATTCCCGGCTCTTGAATTTCTCGAAATTAGGAAAATTCAAGATCCTGAAATAGAAAAAATATGAATGTCCTCTTATCCACCATTTTTTTCTCAATTTTTCTACATTTCCTCTATTTAATTCTCAGTTTTTCCATCTCATTTTTATTCCTGGCTCATGAATTTTCGTTTTCTTTTGAATTTCTCTACATAAAGAGAAGAAAATTCAAGAGCCTGGAATAGTAAAAACATGAATCTACCATAGTACCACAGTCCTTATGATTATTTCATTAGATTTGTTAAGCTCCAAATATTAATAATCAGTCAAGAAACACAGATACGCGCAGTGTAGATGCTAATTTCTTAAATTCCTCTTATTCCTCTCTATTTCTCAATTTCTCTAGCTCAATTTTTGTCTATTCCCGGCTCTTGAATTTCTCGAAATTAAGAAAATTCAAGATTCTGAAATTGAAAATATATGAATGTCCTCTCATCAGTTTTTCTACATTTCCTCTATTTAATTCTCAGTTTTTCCATCTCAATTTTATTCCTGGCTCATGAATTTTCGTTTTCTATTGAATTTCTCTACATAAAGAAAAGAAAATTCAAGAGCCTGGAATAGAAAAAACATGAATCTACCATAGTACCACAGTCCTTATGATTATTTAATTAGATTTGTTAAGCTCCAAATATTAATAATCAGTCAAGAAACACAGATACACGCAGTGTAGATGCTAATTTCTTAAATTCCTCTTATTTCCTCTCTATTTCTCAATTTTTTCAGCTCAAGTTTTGTCTATTCCCGGCTCTTGAATTTCTCGAAATTAGGAAAATTCAAGATCCTGAAATAGAAAAAATATGAATGTCCTCTTATCCACCATTTTTTTCTCAATTTTTCTACATTTCCTCTATTTAATTCTCAGTTTTTCCATCTCATTTTTATTCCTGGCTCATGAATTTTCGTTTTCTTTTGAATTTCTCTACATAAAGAGAAGAAAATTCAAGAGCCTGGAATAGTAAAAACATGAATCTACCATAGTACCACAGTCCTTATGATTATTTCATTAGATTTGTTAAGCTCCAAATATTAATAATCAGTCAAGAAACACAGATACGCGCAGTGTAGATGCTAATTTCTTAAATTCCTCTTATTCCTCTCTATTTCTCAATTTCTCTAGCTCAATTTTTGTCTATTCCCGGCTCTTGAATTTCTCGAAATTAAGAAAATTCAAGATTCTGAAATTGAAAATATATGAATGTCCTCTCATCAGTTTTTCTACATTTCCTCTATTTAATTCTCAGTTTTTCCATCTCAATTTTATTCCTGGCTCATGAATTTTCGTTTTCTATTGAATTTCTCTACATAAAGAAAAGAAAATTCAAGAGCCTGGAATAGAAAAAACATGAATCTACCATAGTACCACAGTCCTTATGATTATTTAATTAGATTTGTTAAGCTCCAAATATTAATAATCAGTCAAGAAACACAGATACACGCAGTGTAGATGCTAATTTCTTAAATTCCTCTTATTTCCTCTCTATTTCTCAATTTTTTCAGCTCAAGTTTTGTCTATTCCCGGCTCTTGAATTTCTCGAAATTAGGAAAATTCAAGATCCTGAAATAGAAAAAATATGAATGTCCTCTTATCCACCATTTTTTTCTCAATTTTTCTACATTTCCTCTATTTAATTCTCAGTTTTTCCATCTCATTTTTATTCCTGGCTCATGAATTTTCGTTTTCTTTTGAATTTCTCTACATAAAGAGAAGAAAATTCAAGAGCCTGGAATAGTAAAAACATGAATCTACCATAGTACCACAGTCCTTATGATTATTTCATTAGATTTGTTAAGCTCCAAATATTAATAATCAGTCAAGAAACACAGATACGCGCAGTGTAGATGCTAATTTCTTAAATTCCTCTTATTCCTCTCTATTTCTCAATTTCTCTAGCTCAATTTTTGTCTATTCCCGGCTCTTGAATTTCTCGAAATTAAGAAAATTCAAGATTCTGAAATTGAAAATATATGAATGTCCTCTCATCAGTTTTTCTACATTTCCTCTATTTAATTCTCAGTTTTTCCATCTCAATTTTATTCCTGGCTCATGAATTTTCGTTTTCTATTGAATTTCTCTACATAAAGAAAAGAAAATTCAAGAGCCTGGAATAGAAAAAACATGAATCTACCATAGTACCACAGTCCTTATGATTATTTAATTAGATTTGTTAAGCTCCAAATATTAATAATCAGTCAAGAAACACAGATACACGCAGTGTAGATGCTAATTTCTTAAATTCCTCTTATTTCCTCTCTATTTCTCAATTTTTTCA